CTGCATTTTTAAGAAATTGAGGCAAAACTCAGAAAAAACTTCATTACAAAAGTAATGAAGTTATACTTAAATACTTGAGGTGATTTCAATTACACCTATTAATTTAAACTTCTATCTTTTTTGCCACAAATAGTTTCGGTTTAATGAAAGTGAGATATCACTTTATCACGAAATTAAAAAAAAACGAATTTTGATTTTTTGTAACCCTTTTTTCGTTGAGCTCTTGTTATATCTCAATTATCAGCTTTTCTCCTAAATTCAATGGCTCCTTGTGGAAAAAATTTAAACTCTAAGGAAAAAACGCAGAATTTTTTTTTCATCCAATTCTTTGTAGCTTTTGCCTATTGTTAATGTTCTTCAATAGATTTTTATCTTGCAGTCGTGTTCTTGTTAGAGCTAATAGGGGGCTAATCGAAGGTCGCGATATTGAAGTTTTTGGTGATTAAAAATCAGTGTGTGAAAAAAGTCATATGGCTGATCGAAACAAAGTTCACGTTTTTCATGTGCTTATTTAAAATTAAGACATGAAAATTTTACGTATTTTATGACATTAATTTCTGCTTCTAAACATGGAAACTTATGGCACTCGGGTTGACAAAAAATGCTTATCATACAATTCTCATATGTGGGAAATTTCTTTTCATACAATTTCATACAATTCCATACGTACAGAAAATTGTATGAAAACTCTATAATAAGCATTTATTCATAAATGGAAAATGTATAATAGGTGCTTTCTCCATAAACCAAAAAGTTTTTATTTGTTCGTAAATTTATTTTCTGAAAAATTTTGGGTTGTGTTTGCAACCGAACACAAGTGACAAAAACCTTGGTTACTCTAAGCACCAAAGGTTGGACGATCATACAATTAATATGCATAAAAAGCGACCTGAATTGTCTTCCTGATGTCTTTCACAAATGATATTACAGAAGTAACAAACTTTTAATTTTTGGCAAAATTTTTTAAAAGATGATTATTTTAAATTTTCGAATTTTCAAATTATCAGACATTGATCAAGGCATACATAAACACGCCATACAAAAGAAATAGGAATTTTCAGCGTTTTTGGAAAAAAAAATTTTAAGTGAAAAGAAAAAAAGCCAATATTATCGTATCCAAGACTACGTTATGCGCACAAAAAATTAAATTTTGCATGCAAAAAAAAAGTTTTTTTTTTTCGGAAAATGTTTGTTTGCGTACAAAATTCGATTTGCAATTGAAAAAAAAAACCAAAAAAGTTTTTGGGGCAAGTTTGCAAAATTACTTGAAAAACTTTTGGGTCGCCATCAAAAAATGCCAGTCATACTATTTCCATATATGGAAATTGTATGGAGAGCATTTATTTCAAAAAAAAATGTTTTAAATCAGTTTTTTGTCACCAGTCTGTTCAACTGTTCTCAAAAAGCCGCAGAAATGGTTTAATTTTTTTTAGTGTTTTTCGAAAATGTATTAAAAAAGTATGACAAGTATTTTCTCCATACACTCTATGTATGGATTTGTATGATAATGATTTTTGTTGTATGGAATTGTATGATAAGTATTTTCGGTGTATGGAAGTCAACCCGGGCAGTTTGTTATTCTTTGTTCACCTGTTTTTTCCGATAATTGCGGTTAAATACGTATAAATCGAATTGTTGTCAATCAGCAAGACAGCCATAACCGATCTACCTCAGGACCGAGAAAAGGCAAAAATGGGTCGGTCAAAACATTCAACTTGCAGAAAAAATAAAACAGGGGTCTTTCAATCACCGTGATTTACTTAACCTGTAAA